TCTCGATCCGACCTATCTTTCGAGTTTTACGATAAAAACCGTAAAACTTCGCTTTCTCGACAAAGAACTCGAGGAAATCGTATAAAACGGCAACAGTTAAATGAAACACCGAACATTGCCTAAACTATACGATTTATTCAAGATTTCTCGTTAAAATCGTAAAAAACGCGTTTTTAATAAAAAAGTCGAGTAAATCGTAAAAAAACGCGTTTTTAAGAAAAACGTCGAGTAAACCGTAAAACCTTGCGATTAGCTCGAGGAATTTACTAAAAACAGCTTCAGATCAGGAAACGGTCCCGTACAAAGTCGGAAAACGGATTTATCGCAGAACGGCCCGGAAGGTCTTAAAACGCGATAAAAACCCATTTCACGATCTTAACGGAATCTAACCCGAAGATACGATAACGTTTTGACGGTTTACTCGCAGGAGGAAAATAAATGTCAAGTTTGAAAATAAAAGGAAGGTTTGAAGAAAAATAGAAGATTTCCGCGGAAGAAAAGGAAGGATCGAGAAAAATGGAAAATTCCCGATATAGTCAAATCTGGGCGAAATGGAAAGACCGAATGACCAAGGCGAGGAGTATATAAATAAGAGGTCTAGGTCAGAAGCAAGGGACACGAGTTTTCAGAGCTTTCACCACCAAACTTAGCATTTAGGCAATTTTCCGTTTTCGTTATCGAGCTGCGTCTCAACTAGGGTTTTAGTCTTAGATTGCTAGAACTAGGAATTTCGCCGACGGCTCACGCAGCTAAGGCAACTCTCGTTGTAACCGTTCTTACGCGAATTCGGAATAAGAATCCTNCAACTAGGGTTTTAGTCTTAGATTGCTAGAACTAGGAATTTCGCCGACGGCTCACGCAGCTAAGGCAACTCTCGTTGTAACCGTTCTTACGCGAATTCGGAATAAGAATCCTTCTTGCTCTCAATCTCGTTTTTCTTTTTATATCTTTCAATTTATTCATATTAATCGCGTTCTTGGTTACTTGTCGTTGGCTTTCGCATAGATCCAGTTCCTCTGGAAAATTAGGGTTTTCCTAACTTTCCTTATTTTATGGAAATCGACAAGTGTGAATCTCGGTTCCCACAAATGATAGTAATTTAAAATAATATTATCCTCATCATCAGACCAATTCCAGATGTGAATACTGTGAAGAAACAATCTAATCCAAAGCATATACGGGGAAAGAAAAACTCACCATGGTAGAGTGGAGGTTTAAGAGATTGATTCACTCCTTTAAAGAATCTCAAGGAGCCTTTTAGTTTTATATATATATATATATATAAAAGAGAAAAAAGAAAAGTATAGGCCGCCACTAGAGATGGGCAGCTTCTCCTTTCCTTTGTCTTTCTGGGAAGGGTCCCTTTCCTCCTCTCCTTTCTTCCTTCTTTCCGGATCTCCAATGTCTTCTTTTTGTTTTTCTTTCACAGTGACGTGGCAGCATACCGTAATTATTGCACTCTTGTCCTTTTCCCAAGTTTTAACTAATTAACCGGGATTGTATCTACCGAATGATTGGATATTTAATTACCGGTTTGCTTAAATGATTGGGGGGGGGGGGGCTTGGTGACTTTTCCACCATTTTTTTAATGAAATTATTAGTTTTACTAGAGTCTTTCTACACACTACACGCGGATAAGTAAATAAATAGTTTAGATTTAGATCATATTTTCCAATGACATTTGTTGATTGGGATCACTGTATTTTAAAAATATGAGAAACTTAATGATTATTAAGTGTTTACTATTTTTAAAATAAAATAAAAGAATAGCTTAAATGATCATAAATAATGTAAGAAATAGATTATTTCTTTCGGAGAATAGAAGATAGATAGTTGCGATGTGTACTGGATGAAAAAAATTGCTTAAAATTGGTAAAGATTAAGTTAGTTAACTCAAAATTAAACAGATATCTATACATCTTTTTTCATAAGATTTTTTATGTCATGAAGATCAGATATCTCTTACTAAATACTCCCTCCATTACGTATTAAGTGTTATAGTAAATAAAATTTTTCGTTATAAAATAAGTGTTAATTTTGGTTTTCAATGAAAAATTTATTAATTTCATTATGCAATTTATTTTCTATTGATTAAAATATGTATATGTAATTGTGTTTTATATAGAAAATATACAAAATTAATTGTTTTCTTAGTCTGTGTACATAAAAAAAATTAAGCGCTAGACTAAAGAAATTGGTTAAGAATCGAAATTGTACGATCATATATATATATAGATATTACCATTAAACCTTTTTAGTGAAAATATTTAAATTACTTTATTTATTATCAGTTATAAGTAACATTAACTTTCACTAATTGTTACATTTTATTTTTGCTATTTTCTTTTTTTTCTACTATTATATTCAAGCTTTTTTTTTTGGCATCATTATATTCAAGCTTAGACAGGGGATTAAAGACTTTGTTCAAACAAAACAAAAAGACAGACAATTAAAGACTGTTTGGACACATAATCATTGAGCAGTAAATCATTTTATAGATGACCCTCTTTCTTTTAATCAGAATGTGAGTTCTGCGTACATAAACTGAATCTTAGTAATTAAAGGCGTATGGTATTGTGCCAAAAAAGGCGTATGGTACTAAATATACAAACCAATTAAAGCTCTGACATTTTAAAAAAACGTCTGAACCAAACATAGATTACCCAAAAGGGGGGAAACAAAAACATACTTTTCCAAATAAGATATTGATGCATTAGCATTGTTTAAAGAGGAAATACTGTGTCCAATGCTCTCATTATCTTAACATATTTCATACATGTTTTCTTGGCCATCTTGGATGCTGCTTGCGCTGGATGCTTCTTTGTGTCGAAACCACTTGGAGCTGCTCATGTAATTGATGCTTCCTGAAAACTACTGCCACCAATGTCCACCTTAGTAGGTACTGTGTTGGCACCGAGCATATATCATCTCCATTGTCATAGTTGCTCTCTGATCAAACCAAATCACTTATAATTATTTACAAACTAAGGAATGAAGAATGAAATATACATGAAACTTACATCGTCAATAAAGATAGAGAGCGGCATACAGTCACCTTCGCTAAGAATGCGTGAGATTGTGAAAGTTTGATGATTCACTGTGAAGTTGTAGGTACTAACCTTGACCTAGAACGTGTAGGTCTTGACTACTATTGTCTGCAATAAAAGGGGGGGGGACCTGAGTCTCCCCTGGGTTCACACCGTCTCCAGGCTAAGTGACCATTGGTTGATTGCAAGTGTATGAGAACAAAATCGGACCAAACGATGATATGAGATGGAATAGTCATGTATCTTTAGATGACCAGTTTCATAAGTTCTGATGTTATGTAGTTTCCTCATTAACCAATCAAAACAAAAAAATAGACCTTCAGCAGTAGCATCAACAATAGTCATCTCCACACAATATCTAGAAGTCAGAAAACATGTATTAAGTGTCAAGGGTAACTACGTGTGTTGGGACATTCAGTGCAATGAATGGAAATAACATGTTATATAGATACATATCAGAGGACACCAATAACATTAGTATTGTTGCAGTGCACACAGAAAAGGACGAGACAGTCCGTTGAAGCTTCTTAGTAAAGTTGGAGCAAGAAACGTAACAACATTTTTGTCCATCTTGAGACTGGTGACCTTTTTGGTGCAGTCAATATCCTACATTCTTAGAATAACATACAGAGTTCAAAACATGCAGTATTCTAACCTATTAAAATCATCTTTAACTATTGAGTAAATACATAAAACATGAATTTCCCTTGAATCACCTTTTGACTGCACCAATCCCACTCGTTTTAATCAGTTCATAGACCATGAATACCAGTCTGCTGAGTTGGATACTGCAAAAAACAACAGAAAACACATGAATGTGAGGGAGAGAAAAATAGCTTTAGGAACAAACTTGAAGCGTTAAACATATATCAAGGTAACACTCACCTTTCTAATCAACGTTGGGCCAGTGATCTAGTTCACATTGCCAACGGCCTATTGACAATGACATCAAACACAAAAATAGATAGGCAAAAAGCATATAACATTTCTTTCACTAAGAGCCTTGTTTTCTCATTCAAAGAAAATGGATTAAATAGCTTGATTGCCAAAATTTTTTAAGGTTTTGATAATGTTAGATGCCTGTAAAAAATATATTACTTAGCTGTTTGTGTTAGTTTCAAAACAATATTTAATTGCTACCACTTAAATGTTTATAACTATAAAAAACTCATGAAAACCAGTACATATAAGAGGGTAGGGTGTAGAATGGTAAATATAACCTTCAAAATCTTCTCTTTTGGATCTGGAAGTGTATCATTATATAATTCATCAAGGGCATCGATGCAAATCGCTCATACCTACAAAGTGGGGAAAAGTAAGTTGTTTAGTGAACTATGAATCCAGAACAATTATAATACAATTACAAATCTTGGAAAATTTTAATACCTACAAAGTTCATCTTCTGATTCATCACTTCTCTCCAGCCCGAGAAGAAGCACATGCCTTAACCGAATCGGATCCTCCGCAGCATCAATCGCCGCTAAAAGAAAAAACGTTACTACAAAGAAAAAAGACGAACGAAGCTGGTCTCGAAGATCTAAGCAAAACACGAACCCTAGATATTGGGGGGAGGCGACTTTGGAGAATGTAGTTCGTTTTTTTGTCTTGGGTTCGATTTAGTAAAAACATTGAAGCCCATACTTTTTTTTTCCCGAGACCCATGTAAGAAAACGAAGAGGACACATGACGTGGCATAAGGAAATGTTTGATTAGACGAATATTTTATCCTATGTGGACAGCTCCAAAAGGCATTATTAAGAACGTTTAATAGTGTTAGATTAGTTCATAGTTTTGAGAATAAGAAAACAAATTGTTAAAGTTTCCTAAGAATTTTTAGCATAAGAACAAAATTGGAAAGTATTTGGATACTTTGAATCACAAAGAAAATGATGGCCAAATCATATACTACCACTAAAGCGAAAAGGAAAAAAGAAAAACTGAAATATAATATTATGTATGTATGATAGTCCTCTTACATCAAGTGCTAGTCAATATGAAAGAAAAGAAAGCTTGCATAAAAACTGGAGTGATGGTTTAACGTAGCTTTGATCATTCGCAAATATAATAGAGATGATGATCTATCTATATATACAACAAAGGGAATAATCCACCCAAGTAAGTTTCTCAGATTAGCTGAAAAGAAAACGCTCAAATACAATAAGACACACTTCTCCTTGGCAAGTGGGCTTTCATGCTTTAATTATTTAGTAGAAGACGCATCTGAATTCACAGCACGAACAAACTGGCCTTTCACTCTTGGACGCTGCTCTGCTAGCTTCTTCCTGCTCTCATATCTTACCTGTATTATACCATTGCCACTTGCATCATTTACTTGTTTGTATTTGAATGAATGAAGAATCCCATATATATATATATATAGAGCAGAGCTTGCTTATGGGGGTGTCTCTTTACCTTTTTACCAAAGCATCGATCTTTCCTCTTCATCCGGAACTTCATCAGCGCAGCTTCTCTCTCACTCCTACGTTCACCTTCTTCTTCTTCTTCTTCTTCTTCCTTTGCTTTCTCTCTTGTGCTGCTCCTACTTTCTCCTCCTGCTGTTACTACTGTTCCCTCTTCATTGGTGCTTTGACAACCTTCCTTGCTTGCTTTCTGGCTATTTGATTCTACTGGAAAAAGAGATTTTTGCTTCTGTTTCCTAGTCCCGGACTGAAGAACCTGGTTTTGTCCGCTTATGGTCGATGATCCTCCTACATTCTCATGGTTGCTGCTCGTTGTAGCGCTTCCGTGATCACATCTTAACAGCTTTTCATGTGATTCGCTTGGTGTTTTGGGATCACCTGAACTGCTTGCCTCTACTACAGCAACCACTGCTTCCTCTCCTGGCTTGTCATTCTCATATCTGCAAGATAAAATAGTAATGTTATTGATCAAAACATTCTATAGTTTCTTTTTTTTTTAAAAGAAAAAAAGCAAAGAATACAAACCGTGAGAAGGCTGATGCATTAGAGAGGCTAAGCTTTTGATGCTTGCTTTCATCTTGGTTCTTCTCTAAACTTCCAGAGCAACATCTCTTCAGAGAAAGCCCAAGCTCTGGACCAACATGTTGCTGCTCACCAGTGTTGTCTCCATAGTAACACTCACTCCGTTTGTCTATTCCACCTATTAAATCCATTGTCACATCAAAAGATTCAACCTTTTTGTCTATCTCAACCAGCGGTTTGACATCATCGCTAATAGCCTGCGTAATTTATAAATCACACGGGTATCAGCATCTATTGGAACAGGATGAACCAAAAGGTCTGGAGAAGTGTGTATTGGTACCTGAGAACCACTTCCATGATCAGAATGATATCTTGAATCTGCACAAGTTTCATCATTGTCGTCAAGGTTCTGCTGTGAAGCTGGTAAGCTAGGACCATTAGCAGTATGATCACCACCACGCAACTGATTCAGAACCAAAAAACAAAAAAAAAGACAATAAATTTCCTAAACTTAGAACCAACATACGGAAACATAACGAAAAGTAACTTACAGTAAGTCTTCTCCAGACATGTTGCCATAGATTCTTCAACTCGTTTTTCCTCATGGGTTTAATTAGATAATCAGCAGCACCTCTCAACATACACTTCAACACCATTGTCATCGAATCTTGCGAAGACATCACTAGAAAACAAGTAAAAATAATCATTAGAACAACAAAAAATCTAAAGAGAAGCTTTTTTTTTTTTTTTCAAAAAAAAGAACGGACATAGAGGATCACACCACCATCGTACTTATGACAGGAATGTGCTTGCAAGCTTCATGCTCCATCACCAAAGCAAGGAGCGCAAAACCAGATATAGCTGGCAAATCAAGCTCCGTTAGTATTAGGTCAATGTTGAGTGTCTTCTCCTTTAGAATCTCCCACGCAGCTAAACCATCAGAAACAGCTACAACTGTTTTGAAAAATCAAAACCAGAGCCGAGTTTAGTTACACAGGCCAGAACATACTTCCAAGTTTCCAACTTCAAAATCAAGACAAAAGAACGAAACTTGAAACAGATTAAGACACTATTTGAATCAAAACCAGACCCTAGTTGAATTTCACAGACCAGAACATACTTCTAACTTCAAAATCAAGACAAAGAAGGAAACTTTACAATATGAAATAAAACAGAGTAAATTAATGACCTTTGTAAGAGCATTTTTGAAGAAGGGCGGTGAGGATTTGGCGAGTTGAATCATCGGACTCGACAAGCAAAACCCTAAGCACCGTTGTCGGAAGATACTTCTCCCACCGGACAACCTCCGATGACTTGCCTCTGCTCGTCATCATCGTCTCCACAGTACCTTCGTCGCTACTTAAAACCACAACTTCCCCCATCGATCTGAGCTCCTCAGTAGAGAGGAAAAAAAACAGAACTTTCCAAAACAAAAGAAAAACCTGATATTTAGATTTTTAATTCGCCGAGAGGAAGAAGAAGAAGAAAAAGGGTATCTGATTATTGTAGTAAGGAAGAAGGCAAAGAGGTATATTATTAGTATCTAATTCACAGCCACTCAACCTCGCCAAAATATCAGACGACTTCAATGCTCAGAGGACAACGAGAATAGAAATAAAAACTATTCGGGAAATCCAATTAACGGTGAATAACTATGTGGGCCTTCATTGGGCTGACGTGGCTCAATACGGGCCATTATTTTGATCTTTCTAAATCGTGTCTGATTCGGTGGAGATGGCGTAACTCTGCTTCGCAGGTCCACAGTACACTTGTCGGTGTGTTATAGTCTTATGTGTATCTCGTGGTTATTAGGATGCCACGTGGTATTCTAATTTATTTGTGTGGCTACCTTTGATTTTTGGGACTTTGATTGGTTTCAAAATGTATATATTTTTCTTCTACTTTCTGCCGCGATCTATTTATAATTCAAATTAGATCTTGTATTATATTTTTTTTTAAACTGAAATAAAAACAATAGACCCACTAGCCTCAATATTAAATGAGCATTTGATTAAATCGTAATTTGTGGTGTAAACTCTTACTCCCTCCCTATACAAATATAAGATGTTTTAGTTTTTTACTTATATATAAAGGTATGATGTTCTACCTTTTAATTAATGCAATTTAATTGTAAAAATAAAATAAAATAAGAATATAAAAAACTAAGTGGCTAAAATGTACAGAGAACCAAATAAAACTTTAAATTTACTGAAAATAAACAATAGATAAAAATAGGGCAATTGACCAAAATAGCATTTCTAAAATTTTTGTCTTCAAAATACCACTAGAAGAGAAAAATCACAAAAATGACCTTAGTTAATAGATAAAAAGTCTCTAATATTCTTGCTTTTAATTAATATTAACTCTAAACATTACTATCAATACTAAACCCTAAACCCTAAAAATATTAACTCTACACCTTCAACCCTAAAACATAAAACACTTGATTTGATGCTACCCATAACGTAAATCCAACTTAAAAAACACTACCGCTCCATTCAACATATCTAACAGCTGATATATGACCAGTATTGGATAATTATCAGGGACTGTTGCTCTATTTAACGCTCCATAGTCAATGCAAAACCTCATAAAGTTATCTTTTTCTTGCACCAATAGAACTGGGCTGGAAAAAAGGCTCTTACTTGACCGAATAATACCATTTTCAACATCTCCACCACCATTAACTCCATAATCTCCTTACTGGAATGAGGATAACGATATGGTCAAACTGAATGTGAAGCTACAACAGGTACTAAATGAATAGCATGCTCGTGCCCCATTAATGGAGGTTACCCTTCAAGAACAGAAAAAAACATGTTTCATCCCCTTCAACATTTCCTCAATTACCATTGGAACCTACGAACTTGTCAAAGAGTAATTGTGAATTTGCAACATAGTTCCCTTCTTATGCACCAACACATTCTTTTGCAAAGACATAAAAATATGAAAGTTGTCATGTAACAAAGGGTCTCCCTTCAACACCATTGTTTTCCCCAAATATTGAAAAGAAAATTCATGAAGATCAATGTCTAACAAACACTTTCCCAAGGTCTGAAGCCATTGGACACCTAGAATGATATCTGCACCTTCTAACTCCAAAGCTATTAAGTCATTCACAAAAGAAACTCCCTGAATGGAAAAATCTACCTTTGAACAAATTTCCAACCGTTGGACAAACACTCTTGTACCCAACATAATCTGCAACCTTTTCATGGTAAATAATTTTAGTCAATCCTTGTTTACTATATGGAGAGATAAAAAGTTATGGGGTGCCCCACTGTTGGCGGGGGTGGGGGGGGGGTCAAAATCGATACGACAGAATCGATGATCAAAACTTTCCGCAAAAATAAAAATACGTTTTATAAAACACGAGATGTTGTTTTACAAAATTCTAAAGGACTTTCCGAACAAAGGAAATCCGTGTAAAACTTGGAGATTGTCATCTCGGAAAAACGAACGAAACAATCGCTGATTACACGATTGCCCAAGTTAAGCGAAAAACCGCATCCGCCATACTATACTATGAGCAGGTTCGACCGAACCATTTAACGTACGACGAGCCGGACCAGCTGGTTCAGCTTTCCGTACGGCGAACGCGAGCTGGTTCGACCTAACCAGCTCGCCGCACGGCGAGCTGCTCGCCTCAAAGCAGCTCGCCGTACGGCGAGGTGAACCAACCCGGTTCGGCTCGTCGTACGTCGAGCTGACCGTCCTAAGCCTTGCTCCCCCACATCCTTGACATAAGGCGTACGTCCTTTGACGTCGATCATGCTCTGAACCATGGTCGAAACGTCTCTCGTTTCATCACGATCCATCTCACCATTCCAGTTTTACGATAAAAATCGTAAAAGTCTTCTTTTCTCGTAAGAATTCAGGAGGATCTTATAAAACGGAAACGATTAGACGAAACATCGTACATTGTCAAACTATACGATTAACTCGAGAAATCTTATTGAAACGGCATCGTATCAGGAAACGATCTCGTCTAAAATCGTAAAATGGTTTTTATCGCAAAACGGCTGATAAACCATGGTTTTAACCCACTTTTAGCCATGGTATTGATATGTTTTTATAATATATATATATATATATATATATACACATATATATATACATATATATGTTTTGGAGTCTATTAGGTATGTTTTCAGGTTCAGGAGCATTTTGGAGTAAAGTGATGATTTAGGTGCCCTTATGGAGCTTAAAGGAGAGTTTTTCGAGATGACTATGAAGATCAGACAACAAGGATACATATCGATCGATACACACCCTGTGTAATCGATCGATGACGCTTCTATAGAAGATGAATTCAAGATAATCCATCGATCGATATCAAGCGTGAAGAACAAGTCTTACTTGGCCGACTTGAAGCCCAAGTTTTCCCAATATTACAAGATTTCCCCTGACGAGTTTTTTAACCTAATGGAACTCATATTTATAGTTTTGCCTATGTGTTTTGGCAAAGCATTCTTTTGAATATTTTTTATGCCTTTTGTGCTTTTGTGTTTTTGATACTATTTTATACTTAGCAATAAAGTATTCTTTTCATCTTAATTCTCAAAGGTTATAGAATTCTAGATTTAGAAAAAACACACAAACAGATTTGTTGTTCCAAAGAACCAAGAGTTCAATCTTCTAATCTTATGAATTTCTATTATTACCTTGCTGCTATGAATCACTTGGCCATGTCTGAGTAGATTCACTTGTTAGATTTGGGGTTCAAATAGTTATGAGGGATTAGCTCCAACTATGGAATGTTGAGTTGTGATATTCATTATCCAAATGAACACTAATGCTTACTCTAGAGTAGCTAACTAGAGTATGATCATGGAGTGATCTAACTTGTTAATCATTATCCTGAAATCATTTGGCATAAGCCTAGATCCTCTAGAGATGTGCGAGAGCCGGTCTATGATCTTGGTGAACACAGTTTCGATTCGATCTTATACTATATCGATCGATACTCCTATAGAGTCATCGATCGACGGCAACCCATATCGTCCGATAACGCTGTCAAACATCGGTCGATACTACCGGCAGTAAGATCAATGAACGAGTCTATATAGCGACTGCTATTAGATCTGTATAAGAATTGAAGTTCTTATATATCTTGCAAGCAACTTACTAAAACATGTGTAGCATTATAATCCTGATTATCTGAATAGCAACCTTGAATCTAACTACTTTCTTTTATTATTTAAAACCTAAAACCAATTCTCTTGAGCAACTCACCATTGCTCACAACTGCAATTTACTTCTAAACCTTAATCAACCTAGCATAATCACTTAGGATTACATCTTTTGTGTTCCTCAGTTCCCCGTGGATTCGATCCCTAAGTACTACAACTGAACCTCTTATTTGAGAGAGTAATTCACTCCTTAGGGTTAAATATTTGAGTAATATCAAATTAGGCGCCGTTGCCGGGGAACTTTGATAGCCATCAGATTTAATCTGATTAGGTCTAGGTTATTTTTCTTTTATTACTTAATTATCTTCTGACACAAAATTTTTTTCTTGTCTCTTTCAGGTACATGCCCAGCAGTACTAGAAGCAACAAGAACAACCAACTTGTGTATTCAGAAGACCCTCACAGCTTGGAATGTAGCATCCGCAAAGACTTACGTTCCGCATCGATCGACATCAACACCTCTTTGTCGACCGATACTCGCTTACCTCAGTCGACCGAGACACCTTCTTCGTCGATCAATAGTCTCACCGTCACATCGATCGACATCAACAACCGTTCGTCGACCAATACCGTTCATCCGACATCGATCGATACACCTTATCTTACATCGATCGATACTAACCGGCGAGACATGGTAGCGCCTATTATTCTCACTACCGATGAGAATGGAGACCTGCGTGATCAAGACGGTTACCTGCGTAATGCAGCAGGTCAGAAGCTGAACGCTCAGAAGGAGATCATTCCTCAGCAAGAAACTGCACCTACAGACATCATTCAACCTGTAGAAGAGGCTAACCAAGCTAGAAATTTGGCTGACTACAACCGGCCGGATCAGTTCTATTCCAACCGATCAGCCATCCACCCTCATGCTATTCAAAGAGGAGATTTCGAGCTTAAGCCGCAGTACTACACACTTGTAGGACAAATACCCTTCTGTGGGTTGTCCCATGAGCATCCTATGGACCATATGGAGATGTTCGAGGATCTCATAACCATCATAAAAGCCAATGGACTCCCTCAAGACTATCATCTCTGCAAGCTTTTCAAATACTCTCTATCTGGAGAAGCTTTGCAGTCGCTGAGACAACTACCACCAGGTTCTCTCACAACCTAGAGCGACATAAAAAAACGCATTCCATTCGTAACTTTTTTGATGAGTCACGCGCTGAAGAGTGGAGAAGAAAGATTGCTACATTCACTCAGAATCCTGAAGAGTCTTTCCAAGATGCATGGAACAGATTCAAGTCCTACTAACGAGATTGTCCACACCACAGATTCAACAAAGTGCAACTGCTTTGCACTTTCTACAGAGGCATCACCTTGGATTATCAAAGGACTCTTGATACAGCTAGTGACGACAACTTCAACACCAGGAATCCACA